GTATTAGAGACTAGTGTGATGATCATGGGTCAGGGCACTGTATATCGTAGTTTGGGGATCCATGAAACGTGCGCCAGGAATCTATCGAGCAAGAGGCTGGGATTGACGTGGGTCAGAGGTCAGTCAGTTTTCGTGGGTTGTGAGTCAAGGGTTCATCGGCTGTAGGTCAGAGCTTGGAACAGAGTAGGACCCTCCTTCAGAAAAACCTAGTTGTACAGATACATACTCCCTATGATACTTACTCTTTCACTCACTCACCCACTTACTGACACACTCATTCACTTGCTCACTCACTATTTTACTCATTCTTTCCTCTCTCCCCCCTCTCTCTCTCTTTCTCTCTCTCTCTCTCTCTCTCTCTCTCTCTCTCTCTTTCTCTCTCTCTCTCTCTTACTCTCTTACTCTCTGTCTCTTTCTGGCTCACTCCCTTTCTCCCTCATTCACTCATTTGCTTACTCACTTACTCTCTGTCTCTCTCATTCATTCACTCACTCTTTGATTTTTTCCCGCAGACGGTGACTGTGTCTTCCATCTTCCCCATGTTCGTCATTGCAGGATTTCCTGAGGTAAGTCACTTTCTCTTCTCAGCCATGACGTATGTAGCCCTTCCCTGTAGTTTTTCTGTCTTATCTCTTTAGAAAGCAAGTTCATTGCCGTGACAGCGCTCATTACTTGAGCTTAGATCGACAACAGCAATAGTTACCATTCCAAGGCATCTTTTTGTTATCAGACTTTGCTTGAGCTTAAATTGACAACATGAACAGTTACCACTTGAAGAAAGCTTGTTGCCATGGCAGTGGACATTGTGTGAAAGAAGGATAACATTATTCACACCAAGCCAAGATGTCATGACAACAGGCATTGCTTCAGCTCAGATAGACAACAATAACAAAGACATTTCCTGGGTAAAGAGCCAGACTCTGAAAAGTTTTGTAGAGACAAAATGTCTGGTCAACTTAATCTTAACAAGCAACTTTTTAATTATTGTTTCACAAAACTGGCCGGCAAGTGAGTCATGAGGAAGTTTTGATTTCTGTAGAGAAAAATTGACTCAAGACCTTTGGTTAGCTCTTAGTATTTTTAGGTTTAGTTTTGTTTATGTCAGCAAGGCACAAACTAACAATTGTGGCTGTAATGTAATTGACATGGGTTCCGATTAAGAAAGAAATTTTCTTGAGTGAGTGTCTCTGCGTTTCTGATAGAACGCTTGTCGGCAAAGAGAAGCAGGTTTGAAGCTGTCCACTTCCAACATGGTCTGTATTGTGCCAGTGGTGTAGTGTGTAATACATATGCAGTTGAAGTCTTGATATGTCATGACATGTTTGATAAAGCTGTAATTTTTGCACAGTTAGGTCTTAAAAGAGCTTTTCTGTCTCTCGTAATGTATGAACCAACAGTAGAAATTACATAGTCTGCATCTATCTCTATGAATGTTTATATAATATGTTTTTTGTGTGCATATGAACATTTAAAGTGTTGTAAGTGCACATGTCTGTGTTCATCAATTTTGTGCGAGTGTGTATCTGCAGATACTGACCAGCAGCACCCGGTGGACAAAAGCAGAGCTACAGTGAGGCAGGATGTGTCTTTATCTGTGTGTATGTGTGTGTGTGTCCACAGGTACTGACCACTGGGACCCTGGTGGACTACAGCTCTAGTGTGGAGCCACAGCGTGGCGTGGTGCTCAAACATTTCCCAGACAAGTACCAGACTCTGCTGGTGGACCTCAGGACTCGCAAGAGGCACACGGTACTTACTTTCTCTCTCTCTCTCTCTCTCTCTCTCTCTCTCTCTCTC